CTGGCCTCTTCGCAGTGGATGCGCGCCCGCTGGACGTCTGACCCCTGCTACGCCTTCTTCGGGGTGGACGGCACCGAGTGCTCCTTCCTCGTCTACCTCAGTGAGGTCGAGTGGTTCTGCCCCCCGCTGCCCTGGAGGAACCAGACGGCCACGCAGGCGGCCCCCAAGCCCCTCCCCAAGGCCCAGGTAGGCCCGGGAGTGGGTGGGCTCGTGAGGGCATGGTGGCAGGTCATCTGGCCTCTCCAGGCCGGACACCCGTGGCCCCTGGTGCCCTGCCCGGTGGGTGGGCAGGTCCCAGCTCTCCCTGCCGGACAGGAAGCCAGCCTGACAGTGCCCGCCCACCTTCTGGGGATGCCCCAAACCTGGGGCCCTGGAGGCTCCCCCTTAATGGACTAGAATAACAGTAACAGTAGCTTCCCTCCTTGAGGGCCTCCTGTGTGCCAGGTACTCTGTACTAGAACCTCCCGGGGCCCTGATGTGATCGAGTTTAGCAGATGATGGATTGGAGGTCCAGAGAGTTGAGCTAGTTCAAGGCCTGGTTATCTGGCTCCCCGGGAAGGCGGCCCGGCCTCCCTGGTCTTCGGGCCCTGCCCTGACCACTGCCCTCCCTGCCTCCTGGCAGCACCTGGGTCCCTGGGGACTGTGATAGCCGAGCAGCTCCTGAGGCTCCGGACAGGCCTGCGTGGCTGGAGAGGGGGAGCAGGGACCCCCACTGTGGGGCCAGTGGGCCGCTTAGAAAGGGCGGGAGAAGCCAGAGCAGGCCCAGCCTGCGGGAGGTGCCAGCCCCGTCCCCGGGGCACAGTGGCGCGGCCGCGGGTCTGAGAGTGAGAGCCGAGGACTGGCCTCCCCTCCAGGCGGTTTTCCGGAGCGACCTGTCCCGCCTCCTGGACCTCATGGGCAGCGGGAAGGAGTCGCTGATCTTCATGAAGAAACGGACCCGGCGGCTCACGGCCCAGTGGGCACTGGCCGCCCAGCGCCTGGCGCGGAAGCTGGGGGGCTCCCAGAGGGACCAGAAGCAGGTACCTGACCCCCTGTCCGTGTTCAGGGGGCTGAGCCCAGAGCGCGTAGGAAGTGAGCACAGGGCCCCAGGGCTCCAAGGGGACACCGGGTGTGCCCTCGAAAGAGTTTTGTAGAATTTATTTGAATTTGAGCCGGAAGGGGGAGGGGAGGCAGTCAGGTTAGAGGTACATGGTGGCCTGGGGCCTTTTCAGGTTTGGGAAAGTCAAGATCCTACCCCTTAAAGGCCCCACATTCTGTAGACATCTGGTTCTTGTTGGGCGGAAATGTCATAGCCTTTGTCTGGAAGGTTGGGAAGGATGTAGCCTGTTTTGGGAGGGTTCATTGGTCCATCCATCCATCATCCATCCATCATCCATCATCCATCCATCCATCCATCATCCATCCATCCATCATCCATCCAT